GTGGCTGTTAACCACAGCAGCCCAAGGGGCTCCAAACGGTGTTCACCGCTGCTGGATTTATATAAATGTACATATTTAAGAAGAAAGCTTAGAGAAAAATTACCTTTGCACTGAGCATGGTTTTCTAGTTTTTCAAAGAGACACGGGATCCTGAAGAGACTGCAAAGACTATGAAAATTAATTAAAAACCAAACAGCAAAACATATTTATCACACAATTCTTCTGAAAGCCCAAAAGCCTTTCTTCAGCCTGCTAGCTTAACATGAGCCCCATGGCAGAGGCTCTGCAGCTGTAAATCTAAACCGATTATTTCTCAGACTAAGATTAACCAACGCTTACTTGTTACTGTACTTCATACTTCAGCTGAGGCAAAATCTTCACAGGACCATAAAATCAGAAAAAAACCCCGTGTTTCCACAACATACGGGATTGTCTCCGTGTTGGCCTCATGACATCAGGATCCAGCAGACAGGATTGGAATTGATATAAGACCTACGCTTCAGATATTTGCAGCTCAATGCTCAAACTCAGTTGTCTAGTTGGGTGAACCCAATCATTCATCAATGGATTTTCTTCACCAGTGCTCTAAGACCGAGTTCTTACCTTAAGGTAAATAAATTAACTGCTTGATGGTTGGTATTTTACACCTGCTATTGACCTAATTCACAGAAATTTCCATTAACTTTCACGAGAATGGGACAAAGTTATCTTTTTCTCTCTGCAACCAATTCTGCCCCAAGGGAATTTCTTAGTAGACGGTCAGCTAAGAATTTGCAGGGTTCAGTCTCAGTTTTGACACCATTTCCATTTGGAAATCCTGGGATCAAGAAGCAGCAGAGTAGCAGCCACTAAACTGCCATATTTAAAGTCAACCACGTACTTGATTGTCTTGCACATTAATCAGTCAGAGGTAATTCTGCAACCATTTCTCCATTTGTATCACCGAGCAAATACCTGCTTTGCAGCCATGGTGTTAGGGTGGTTTAGATCTTCAAAGCACTTCACAAATGCTACGGATTATTATCAGTTCTGACCATGAACATTAGCTCTCCTCAGGCCCCCAAGTTATTCTGCAGAATCTTTGAAGACTATTTGATTATACAATCAGTTCTCCATATGCTAATCCTCAGGCACTTCGAGTTTGTCACATCAAAAAGAAAGACGGAAAGAATTATTTGTCAGAAAGACAAATAATTACCAGTATCAGAAGTAAATTGGCCATTTGTTAGAAGCAATGTGTATGTTCGTAATCATTTATCCGGGAGAGCTGCCTTGATCAAAATAAGACAGCCTGCTGGACCCAAATAAGACATTTCTTTAGCAAACACCTCAGCTATACTAATACAAGAGCTTAGAAGCTTTTTTGTTGGATAAATGGAAGTGGTGGGAGCTTCTAGAACCCTTAAATAGCAATAATAGTGGAGCTGGCCTCACTCTTAACCTGTGCCACTCTTTTCTTCATACTGAAGCTCCTTGCCTACTGCACAGGGTACCAAATAGCACAGTTTGGGAGGCCCTATATAAAAGTATTGTCTCTAATTATTTTGGGGGGGTGGAATTCCTTAACCAGGAATGTAATCTAATTTTCCCATCAAAAGAAGTGGAAATTTGTTTGAATAAATTCAGCTAAGCCTAACATATCTATACGGTATCTGGACTCGCAGCGAAACAGAAATTAAGGCTTATTTCACCTGGTTAGCCAACTTTTACTGATAAAAAGTAATTTCTTTTACTCAAGGTTTTTTTTCAGGTTATTCAATACAGTTCTTGTAGCCACAACCACTAAACGTAGAACTCTTGAGTTACACTGCACATTCAGAGCACCGCTCAGCTTTATAAAGCCCAACTACACCACAGAAAACGGAGCTGAGTTGACAGGTCGAGTTTAATCGAGGCGTCAACTGAAGTAGTCTAGCAAAGATCCTCAAAATTTGGAATCCCATGTTAGACAGCATGTTGCATCTAGCAGAATGTAACAAATCATTAGATATCCCTCCATCAGTACAGCGGCAACAGAGAGGTCATTGTCCCTTCATTCCCATTATAACACAGTTCAGCAGAGTCTTTCAGAGCTTTCAAGGATCACAGACTGTCTGATGTCTGATTAGACTCCACTCATAATGAACCGGTTCATTCTCAAGGAGGAACTGTATTATTTTCTTGACAGAAAGTCTACTTTTTAACTCGGCGAGCTTAATTACACAATGAGATACAGACACAGGTTTCTCTGTGCTTCTTTATTGCATAGTCGCACACTAATGTAACAGGTTAAAATACAGCAGCTACAAGTTTCTTTACATCAGGTGAAAACTGAGGAAAAAGGCCCATATCCTAGGAGAACAAAAGGCATTCCCTGCTACATGTTGCCCGCAAAGACAATTATTTCAGTAAACTACGATTAGGTAGGTAACACTCATTAAAATACACAATGGAACAACTGCCACGAAAACGAGATGCACGAAGAAAAAAGCAAGGATGTGCTACGAAATACAAGTTAAGGCATTCAAAATTAAGGCATTCAAATTTTAAAGCAAATACTATTGCCTATGAAGTTGAGCAGGAAAAGGCACCCTTCCTCAAAAATAAGCCATGTAGAATTCCAGTACCCTAAAACCCAGCAGATTTTCGTGAGATCAAAGCAATCTCCATTTCCATAGCTTTCAAAGCTGAAAGATACGCTCCTGTCAGACTTGCGGTTAAAATCCCAACGCAAGCCATCGTGACAGAAGACAACAAAAGGTCAGGCATAGGTGGGGGTGTACACCTGAAGTGCAGTGTGTGAGAGTTCTGGAATGTAGGAATATGGATCAAACACTCAAACGCCAAATGAAGTCGTTCCAGCTGTGAAGTCACCAAGAACGAGACTTCCGATAAGAGCGGTATTTAACAGAAATATTGAAAGGCAGTTGGAAGTCAGACCAACACGGACACAGATCTATGCTCAAAAACCTTCTACCCCCATTTTCATAAGCTGTCCTCAAAATTATTTCTATTACAGTCTTTAATTCCTAGTACTTATTGCCACAAGAACGCCTCCCAGTAAAGTGTTAAGTAATGGAAGTGACTAATATGCAAGGGCAAATACAAACATGTGCTTTGACCCTTTTGTATTGCACCATCTAAAAGAAGAGCCTAAAGATGCCTATGCGGACACCTTTCAAGTAGAGTTTAACTTAGTTGTGAAAAATCATTACAAGTATTAGTTGTAGTCCAACAATCATTTCCCCCACACACACAGCTGACAGAGTAAGGCAAAAGAATTATATCCCATCTCCTGTTTTACATACACGTGCAGGCACAATTATTTTTCCTGAAGTTAGCTTTTGCAAGGCCCATACAGTCATTGTAACATAAAAGTCAAAAAGAAAAAAAAAAAAGCCACCAAACCCCCAAAGCCTTCTTGTTCATCAGACTGCTAATTTCAACAACAATCCGTCCTGCAGCTGAGGTACTGCCTACCTTAACCGGAGATGCTAAAACATAAATGCAAGGCTCAAAACCCAGCAACATCAGTAACAGAAAATCCCTGTAAAGCTCATTTGTGTAGCACAGTAGAGTTAGTTTTTTTTTTTCTGTTGACCCTGTTTCCAGATATTTGAAGCGATCAGTGCTGAAATTGAAATTGATTGATTTTATATTACTATACTTAGATGTGATTTTTATCTAAGTAGGTATGGAGTATAACTTATTAACTGTATGAGTGGATAATTCACCTATTCGCTAACAAAACTTCCACGACAATACTTTAACAAAGTAAATCTCTCTGAGAATTTTAAATAGATCACTGAAAACAGAATGTTCACCATCATCTCTGATGGATGCATGGTAGTGAGCACGTTAAAAAGATTTACACACCTAGGACGAAAATTAGGTTCAGTGGGGCAAACCTAACCATGGAGAACTCAATTGGGTACGAGCATACTACGGCATTATGAAGCATCTGAAGATTAAACATTTACACCACAGGAGCTTCCTAGGAATAAAATATGTATTTTGTATTTGCGTATGCTAGGAAAGCTGTATTAACTAGTGAAACAATCTCAGTGGATCAGAGGTACACAACAACTTGGTGAAAATCACCCAGACAACTAAAAAACTTAGAGCAATTGCAAGAAGCTTTTGAAAAGATCCATTCACATATATGAATATATGTGATAGGGATATTGATGCAGGGTACCTACAGCTAGCTTAGTGCTGCCGAGTGACCTGTATTTCTGAATGTGAAGGCAACATTAAGATAACTTTATATTACAGTTTTTCCTAACTGCTAATAATGAGCGGCAAAAATCTCAGATAGACAAGTACCAGTTCTGAATCACTGCCATCCTGCTACGGAGTCCACCTCAGAAAAGTGTTTGCAAGAACACCACTGAATGAACACCTCAAGCTTAACAATTACTAGGTCAAGTACGCTCAGGCAGAAAGTAAAAAGAATTGGTTTTCCTATTGCCAGAACTGTAGAGGTCCCTTCCAAAATTATTTCGGAACCTGTCATTCTCTGGCAAAACCATCACTGATGTGATTCTGCAGATCAGGAACACAGTAAAAAGTCTGTCTGATGATGCCAAACACTGGATAGTTCAACTGGGATGGTATAGTTTAACCAAGCTGGTAGAGATGGCACCGTTCTCCAGAGTTCAACCAAGATGGTACGGTTCAACCGAGCAGTAAGGGCTTGGGAGAGGTAACAAAACTGAAGAGACATACTGCCATGTTGAATATACTACACAGTAAAAAATAAGTATGCTATGCTGGGATCAAAGAGTGATTTTCTTACGTTTAACCTTACAGTGACTCTGCGTGGTAAGTGGCCACATTTCAAATTGCCAAGGGAGAAAGGCACAGCATAACAACAGCCTGAGGTAGAGCTATTAAGGAAGCAAAGGTAGGACCTGGGCACTTAACTGGTTAAGCAAGAATATTCAAAAGCCTTAAAAATCATCAGGGTCACACTAAAAAGTGTTAAAGTGCGTTTAAACTGAACACTTGGACTTAAACAAAAGGTACAGATTCTGAAGTTCTGAATTTAGCATTGACAAGCCAGCGTCCTGGCATCACTTGTGCTGAATCACACCAGCCACCAGGGACTGCTTACTGGCAGAAGCAGACCAAGCAACATCTGTTCTCCAAAAAGACTCCTCAAATACAATCAAGATCACATCGTGAGTTTACAGACAGACCTGCTCCTGATCAGAAAATCTGACCATACATCCAGTACATGAATTTCATGCACAGGCATGCTGTTAAATACAGTAATGCATAAAGCCAGTAAGAAAGGTGCTCGAGACAAAATTATGGCTAGTAGTAGCATGCTTCAGAGGTAGATAACACTCGTGGCAATTGGACCATAACTCTAGGATAAGGCTCCACAGCTGGCAGCTTACACAACAATTCTGTCTGGTCCACAAATAAATTTCAACCACCACTTAACTTCATTACCATAAGGTGCTATAAATACAGTCTGGTCCCCAGTTGTCATGAAGCTAGATAACTCTTTTTATAAGAAAAGTACATCTTAAGATAAAACTTTGAAGAGAGTGCACTGGTGCTCTATGAGTTACTGAAAAAAAAAAACCAAAAACCCAAAACCAAAAAAAACTTTCAAGTATCTGAATGCTGCATTTTGTCCATACTCTCCTAGCACTGGGTTAGGTTTCAGAAATATTTTTTTCCCCCCCAAAAAAATCCCATTGGGAGGGTCAGCTGGGGCTTATCTAATTTTGCTTTCCTTTGATTTTATCAATATCCTGGGATCAATTGGACATTTTCACCTAATTTACTGCTCTTGCCAGTCTTGAGATACTGATGAATTCTCTTCTGCTCTCTTCTCCTGGCACATTATTAATACAGAAAAGTAAAAACTGCCAAAGATAAAAGCTTCTACATTTGTTATAAGGTTTTAGAAAAAGTCTTCTGGCTTGTGGTATAGATAAGAGTTGGGGCATCCATATCAAACATGGATCATGCAGTCAATAGGAAAGAGCTTAGATTCCAAAAGTGATTTTTTTCCCCCCTTCTCCTCTGGTCAACCTAAGCACCGATGAAAAAGGAAGAAGATAAAATGTCTCTGTATATGTGAGTAGAGAAGCTACTTCTCTTCCCAAACCTCTGAAATAATTCCACAAACTGACCTGATCAATAGTAATACTTTTCACCTCTTCACACTTCCTGCTTGCTAACACGTTTTTAGCTGGGATTTTTAATTCACTCAAGTCACTGAAGGAGCATGTGAAGACACAAAACAGTTCAGGAAAGAGGCAGGGGAAGAAATCTCCTGCCCTTATTTTTCCTTTAACTGTCAAAACAATTCCTTACTGATCCTTGCTTTACAGCAAGTCAATTTGTTAAGAGTTAGTATTATTCACTTCTTAAAAAAAACCAAACCTAACAAAACCCACAGCTTCTCTAATGAAGGTCACATGACACTTAGCAGAACTGAAACTGGCTGGCTATGAAACTGTACGGCATACACACACTGCAGAAAGAGGAAAAATAATTAAAAAATAACGTCAGTTATATCCAGGTATTGCAGTCTGGACTGACATTTCATGGGCCGTCTATGGCCTGATCTGCTCAGCATGGTCCTTGGGCTGCACTTCAGTATTCAAGAGATGCCTGCTTTGGAAGGATGAACGGACGGTTCGATTCATTAATGGCTGAAGAGGGCGAAAGTTGTCTACCATTCTCTTTTCTTCTTCGCCATCTGAAGTAAAGAGCAGCATCCGAAATGCCTCCAGCTGAGAATGAGAAATGTCCAGTTTTGTGACTTTACTAACTGGAGAATTATTGGAGTTCACGACAAAACACAATCATTCATGCTTGAAAAAAAAAATAAATATGTAAACGTACTATTACATTTGCATTCCGAGAAATTTTAGCACGAACTTTTGGCAATTCTTTGTCGCTTGCTGGTAAAGATTACCCCATCATCCATATCAGTGCAGAAGATGAACTGTCAGTCATCTGCCATCTTTAGGCAAACTACATCTCAAATGTGGCATGTCTGAGACGGAACCGATTCCCATTTGAATACGGGAACATATGCCATCTTTAAATAAACCTCTCCAACCTTCTTAATTTACACCCTTCCTGGAGCTGTTATCTTATACAGACTTGCATATGCTGGGACCCAGAAAAGAGGGATCCTCAACAAGCAACAATCTACATAGTTGTTGTTCTCAGTGGTTTGTAACTGGGAATTAAAGCATGCAGCAGATCAGCTTTTAATGCTCACAAGGGCATTACAATGTTAAGTAAATGATGACCCTTTCTATGCCATAAAAGAGTCAGTGAAGAAGAGCGGGGCGGGGGGGGAGGAGATAAAATTTTCAATTGAAAATAGAACGACACACTACACGTTCAGTTCTCTCTGCTCTGTTAACAGTCTTCAGCTCTTCCCATCCTGTTCCTTTATGTAAACTAAAACATTAGGATCCATACATGCCTATTCTTCCAACTTAGGGTTTGTTTGGAGCGTGACTTTCTAGATGGACTAGGCCCATGCAAAAGTTGTATTTAAAAAAAAAAAAAAAAAAATCAGTATTTTTCCCCGTGTCATTGGACTCTCACTTCATTATTAATCAAAGTCTGAAAAAGTGGGGACAATGCACAGATAACTTTCAGTGCCGCTTAAACCATAAAAAAAATGGTAGATTTTTTGGAGCAGCTCATTTCTACCTGCTTTGCAGCAATCTCCAAAACTTGTTCTATGCTGTAATGACCCTCAAAGTATTCCACTACTTTAAATGGCTAAAAAAACCCTGAAAACTTCCAACAAACCCCACAATTGTAGTACAATTCCAGTGAGTCCTCCCTTCTGACCATTTTCTACTTGTCCCTACATCTATCTGCCTACATCCCATTGAAACATAAAGTACTGAATTTAAAAGCAGTAGAGGGCATATGGTGGCAAGTTTGGGTTGGTGTCAGAACAGACTGTTGACCAAGTACTCCTCCACTTGAAGTAACTTCTGTAATACAAACATTTGCCAAAACCCTTGTTTGTCTGTCCTTTTTAAAGGGGAATGAAGAAAAGGAATTCAAGGACAATACAGCCAAATAGAGAGTAAACATGCCTACGGCAGATTAGCCCTCTGCAGGATTTCTGTGCAAATGCACATGGCTATCAGGAATATGCACAAAAGGTCAGAGTTTGGAATTTCACAAAACCTGCCCTTTCTCCTTCCTCCCTACCACAAGAAGGACTGCAAGCAGGAGAGCAAAGAAAAACACTGCAAGGAGAGCAAAACTATGCAGCATTCCAATAAATAACCATAGAAGTTTTCAAGGGGCACTTTCCAGCATAAGGCATTGTTTATCACACATCAAAAGCTGGAGAAGCATCTTTAATTGCTTACCGAGGAGGTCTTAAGTCTTTCAATATTAGCTGTTGTTAATGACAGGATACCTCCCAAAAGAAATACTGGGTGTGAAGCACCCACCCGATCCTGTGTGTATTCAAAGAGAATTACTGGCACTGGTAAGCAACTACTTCGTTGCATCTTCCCTTCCACGGCAGCAGGCAGTCAAACAGGTATGGTATGGTATAATTTGAAACGTAAGCATGAGATTTACCTGATTCTCTTCAACCTCTATTGGCTGCTTCTTAATAATCCATGTGACTGATTCAGTAAGGGGGGGAGTTGTCAAAGAGCCCGCGTAGGTCCAATAATCAGGGCATGAAGGTATCAAACAGGAGGGATCAAAGACATCAAACTCAATAACAGTGTCCTAAACCCCAAAAAGAATTTATGTTTAAAACTTGTTTTTTGAGAAGGTTTAGAAATATCTTAACAATGAGATTAAATACTGTGTTACATATGCATATGCAAATTAGGTGTTGTGAATATTAATATGATCTATGTTAGAAATATCTTAACAATGAGATTAAATACTGTATGTGTTACATATGCATATGCAAATTAGGTATTGTGAATATTAATATGATCTATATAAAATAATAATTTAAAATCCCATTAACTTGTACAGAATTGGTAACCTGGGTTTGAGGTATAAGAGGCAGCTAGTGAGCAGACAAAATTTAAATATTTCTGTTGTCCCCATAAGCCATTAGGAATTCAGTACAGAAGAAACAAGGAATGCGAAGGAACAACTGACTACGTCTTTATGGGAGCTAGAAGCAAACAGGAAAAAGAAAGAATAAATGGTGGAATAAGTTCAGGCAGTTCTGCCAGCCATACTTAATAGACTGCAAACAATAGAGCTTTTACTTTTCACCACGTGATTTTAGGCAGCAGGAAGAAGCAAGAGGACTAAAATTTTATTTAAGCCACATTAAGTCTCCAGAATGTGCACTCCCACAACTGAGACACCAGACAGCATGTAGGAGCTTCAGAGCCCATGATTTCCCCACACAAACATTTTACTCCTGGGATATTTTCAGGATATACTGGCAATGCAGGAAAGGAAGATCCTGTTTTTCCATAGATAGGCTTTATTGGTTCCCTACTGAGAATGAGAAATGTTACAGTAAAGAATTTTTCAAAAATAGGGAGTTGGACAAGAGATTCTAGATGGGAGCTTTTACCCATCATGGGAGAGAAGGTGCAAGGACATCAGAATGGGTTTTATCTGACCTTCCTCCTCTTCCTAACCAGGGTGATGTTTCTCAGGGTTTGGTGCTTAAGTCACCGATAACACTGGCAAGGCAACAAACGTTTTAAACCAAGTGCTGAGGAGCTGCTGGGTAACTGACACCCTTTGGAAATGAGATCCCTTTCAGAGCAGCCCACATGAAGCTTGATGAGCCTAATGTCTGATACTATTTTTTTTTTTTATCTTGAGTTCAGTTTCTTTCAAATTAATATGCTGTAAAATATTATATTCTCATAATGCATGTATATTCACAGATTATTTTTTTTAGGTCTTTTTGGCACTGAACTGACTTGTTTGGTATTTATCTGGCAGAGTTTTCACTGCACTGCCATAAATATTTGTTTTATTTGGATAAAAAAATATCCTTACTGTGATAAATAACAGCACAGCGACTTCAACTGGAGGTGCTTACAAACCAGCAAAATTCTTGATGTGTTTTTTCTTTGTGTGTACTTTGAAAAGGAACTGACACCTGGAGAACTTATGAGCTGCTTCTGAGCGCTATCAGAGACGCAGGACTCCCTCTGCTGGCAGAAGTCAGAAATGAGCTACGAAGAAAGAGTCCCATTCCCCTAGCAGAGAATTTACAGTGGTTTTTTTTTTTAAAAAAAAAAAAAAAGCAAAAAATAATCTCCTTCTCAAAGGTCAGACAAAAAAAAAAAAATCAGAAAGCCTTAATTCCACAAGAAATAAACTACCACTTTACACAGCACGGAAGGTTCCTTCCCGTTAAACAACACATAAAAACTAATCCAGCATATGCTTTCATAGAAGCAGAAGGGCACGCTCCAGTGAGAGCAAGCATTAAACATGTGCACGGCCTTTTAAGGGGGTACAGTCTCAAGAGCATTATTTCTTAAACCAAGAGGTTTGGAAAGCTTGAAATACACAACTCCTCCTTAAAAATTAGCTTTTTTCCCCCCCCCGCCTCCCATATAATCAACAATTCACCCAAGGGGTGAATGCCCCCTACTGACATTTAAGGAAGAAAGCATTTATCAGTGTTTTGCTGTTCTCAAAGTATTCCTTATGTTGCATAACTGCTCTAGCTATGCTGAGTGATACCTGGTGGCACACTTAAAACCACTCACCTTGTGTTTAACTGCCGGCAAGGCATCAACCAGTGTCTGCAGCCCTTGGTGATGTGCTCCTAGCTGCAGAAGACAGGTAGGAGGTAGAGAATCATTAAGCTGACATTCTACTTATCTGCCTTAATCAGTATTTTTTTTTAAAACAGCAACAACAAAAATCTAGAGGTATTTTGTCCTGAATCACTTTTAACAAAATGAAAATAAAAAGGCATCGTTACGCTTATCACACAAAGTGAAATTACCTTTAAAAACACTCCAATAACAGCCAAGCCGTTACCTTCCATTACAGCTTCTTCAAAAGTCGGGTACACAACAGCATTCCAGTGTACTAAATGCAACTGAAATACAAATGAATGAGAAATCAACACGTGCACAGAGCACAGCAATGATATCAAGGAACTTGACTTTTGATCTTTGCTACATTTGGTCCTTGGCCCACCACAGTGAGCTACCTCAGAAATCACACACCACAAAAATGAAGACCAAAATGTTATTGGAAAATAACAGTACTTCCCTTTTTTTTTTTTTGGCATTGTTTTAAACAATAGCCAAAGACCCATAAACTACATTTCACACATATGGAAGGGATTTTGTCTGTGGGAGACTGATTACAGGAATGCTAGTTACAAGGCACAAAATGGCTTAGGATACCTGTAACAGAAGGACCCTTCCATCTCTTAACAGGAAGATCAGAGCATGCTCTTCTGCTAAGGACCATCGTCCTGCACGCAACATAAGCTTCCTCTGCGTTGCTTACAGTCCAACACAAGCATTCCATTGAGAGGTTTTGTGTATTAAATAGATAGCCAGCACCAGTCCCAAAACTTAGTCATACTGTCTTGCTGTTAGTAATTATCTTGCCAAGCTGACAAGCATCGTTATGAACGTTATCTCCATTAACAGGAGATAAACATCTTCTCAAAAATCAGCAATAATCATTTTTCAAATTCTCCACCTTTGGCATACAGCTGTGTTTATACCTGTCATGCTTTCCTCTCTGAGGAACTTCAATTGTCTTTTTCCCCGTTGGCTCCATCCTTTTTATTGGCTCCTTCTGTCATAGTAGTTACTTCATCACAAAAGTTTTGCTACTTCAATAATTGTTTACGAGTTGAAAACGGAAAACAGTGATCACGATAAACACTATATTACCATAGAACTCTGCTGTACGTTATTCTAATGACTTTAAGAAACACAAAAAATTGCTGATAATGGGAGTCAACTTTCTGACATTAGCCAAAGCTCTGAGGTCACATACACAAGACAATTATTGTACATAAAGTAAGCAGGACCAGGCTTCTTGAGTTACAGGTATGGGTCTGAGAATTAAATAATCTTCTGTTTTCTCTTTAACTTTTTTTTAAAAGAGTTATTTAGTACATGCTTTGTTTCTCTGCAAGCGTTTGTAATAATAAACAGTGATTTTAAAGTAGTAAGGATTGGGACATTTGGACGTCCATGAGAGACGACTGTTGAGATGCAATGGATTCACCATACTCCCAAGAAAATGGATCCTACACCTCATGTGAACTCTTAGCTTACTGCAGCTCAGAGGTAAAACACTTAAATTTTGTTAACAGAGATCTGAGCTTGCACATTTACCTCAATATTTGCTGTCCACCTGATGTGCACCACATGAGTTGGGACCTGGGAGCTCATTAAGACCTGATGGTGCCCTCAGCCTGCTTTCTGTCTCATCCTTTTCCCCTGTAAAAGGAGGAAGGACAAGCAGAGGTGTGCCACTCCATCCAGACAGAGCTGGAATAGCAATGGTACTTCACTGCCTGCCCTTGGCTTAGCCGGCAGCTACCCCTGTGGACATTCAGGGAGAAGAAACATTATTGAAACTTTCGGTAATGGGCCCAATGTTCAAATTGAAGACTGTGTTCTTCTCCAGAAAACATAGTGAATATGAATTCACTAATGAAACAGTAGATGAGCTGCAGCCCCTACCAGATCTGATCCTTAACATTAAGCTGCAATTCTTCAAACAGGGAGTTTTTCAACATGCAGTAGAGTCCCAGACAGCCTGGGACCTCGCTTCCAGTCCCCCTAAGTATTTGCATTGTTCAGCATTTTATCTCATACCTCTGCCGGGTAAAATTTACTGTCAACTGTGTGCTCTGAACCCCACTCATTTATAGCTCCCCAATGGAAGTGGAACTGCTTTAGCCTGTATTGGTTTTCCAACGGACCTCCAACGATTACTAAAAAACAAAACAAGACATACACATTAATAAAGATGATTTAGAATTGTCCAGACGAGTAACACAGCAAGATCCTGCTTGAAAATAAGTTTGCCCAGGGAAGAAATCAGGTGGAGCAGCTATCTTTCTGAAACAGTCCCCTACTTTTACAATTTACTTTGCTATGACAAAATTGTTCAGGCAAACACATCACTGTTTTTCCCTGCAGCCTGAATCAGCTATATCAAATTGAAGGTAAGCTAAACAGTCTCCTCATCCATCTCCCCTCAAGGAAACTCCTAGTGAATCAGCTATATCAAATTGAAGGTAAGCTAAATAGTCTCCTCATCCATCTCCCCTCAAGGAAATTACTGGGTTTTTTCCAACTGCTTTAGCAGGGGGGTTGGACTAGATGATCTCCTGAGGTCCCTTCCAACCCTTACGATTCTGTGATTCTGTGTGAAATCACTGGGTTTTTTCCAAACCATGTCAAGTTTGGCAGAGTCATGGTAATTACATGTCACCTTCCATGCTCTTCTCTTTGAGCAGGCAAATGAGAACTGCCTTACCAGAAAAAACATGTATGATGACAAAGCAATTAATACATCTATTAAATGACATCCCAGCGAAGCCTCAATATCTGTGAAAAATTTCCCATGACAATACAAGACTTCCAAAATCCAATTTTGCCAGAAAAATCGGTACGTTGTGTCAAATGTTCAATTCTGCTTTTTTTTTCCAAGTTACAAAACCCCAGACATACTGTTCTGCTTCAAGGCAGCTTTCAGACTGCATAACCAACACTAAAAGACTTCCCGCACAGCCAGAAATACACTAACGTTGTGGCTGCTGTAAACTGCTCAAGCTACACTCCACAAAGCATCTAAAATTCCACCCTGCCTGTGGGCAAGATTCTGAGTTTCTGGAAGCTCTAACATTCAGCCAGCTCTCCTGGTTTCAGAAGGCCTCTCATCCTTTTGCAAATACATGAATGATAAAGTCTATGCCAGGCTTTCTGCATACTGCTGGGTTTTACTCATTTCCTCCCATTGAACCAGGAACATCCTGCAAAGTCTTGCTAGTTACTATGTCACAGCATCTGGTAAACAAGAGACCGTAATTACTGCCAAAGAGCTAACAACAAATACGTAGCCGTAGAAACCCATTTGCTGATTTTTACTTAACTGTACATCATGGTTAAATTTTGCAGCAAACCACTGTATAAAGTACATAATCCCAACACTACTTTTGAAAAGAAGTTAATCACTTTAATGCTAAGGAGAAAACAATGACAGGCTTTAAGAGCTTTTCTTGTCTCTTTTTTTTTTTTTTCCTGAAAGCCAGCCAGCAGGTTTGAAATTCTAACTAGATAGGCCTGCTTGTGATAAAGGAGTAAGCTAAAACAAGCTATGCAAATTGATATTTAATTAATTTCATTCACTGCTGCTAAGCTCTTAGCATAAATGCAACACTGACCATCACTAAAAAAATCCTGATAGAGAAAGGTAACTTTCGGGGATGGGATGAAGATGTGGCCCACGCTGCCAAGTCTTTCAGAATTAAAGTTTCTGTGCTCTAACACTACCCATTCCTAAATATGTGATGATGCAAACGCACAAGTGACTACGTTCACGTTAATAATCACGTTCACCCAAATGTTTACCTTGCGAGTAAATTTAGGCACAGGCACACATATGTAGAAAACCAGGTTCCTATAGCGGACACTAGAAAGTGACAGGAAACAAATAGGAACTTACAGTCCCTTCACAAGCACTTTAGCTATTTCATTTCCTCTCAATTTACAAGTCTTGATTATTTCAAAACAGGGAACTCTAACAACCACCAGAGGAAAGAGTCACAGCAGGTTTTTATTGCAGCCCTAGTTGTGTTTCAGTCTCAGCTCCTTGCAGCAGATGGCATTCATGCACACAGAGAGGACCACGTTCTGTACATACCTTCCTCACACCCTCTTTCTTCTTCATCCTCCTGCTCTGCTCATAAGCAAACAGCCCATGGCAGCACTACCTTCATCTTTTGCCCAAGTCTTGCTTTGCCTCATCTCAGGAGTTGGGCATTTTTGTCTATCCTGGGTGCGCGTTTCATTTTGTCTTTTTCATCTTCTGTTTCAATTTTGTTGCTTTTTTTTGTTTATTCATAAGCTTCCTTCCCTGGGTTTCTATTATCGTTAGACAGAAGCTGGCAGAAAGAAAAATCAGAAATAGCAACAGTAAAGAGAGAAAGGTGGAGGAGAGAGGCAGGCACTTGAAAACCCGGCCATTTATACAGCAACATCCCGCGATCTGTTGTTACTCTGCCGTTTTGGAGTCCTGTCACTGATCATTTAATGCCATCCTCCACTAGCCGTCATCACTCTTCATTGACTTTAATTCACCTGAGGAAGAGGATGACGGTGAAGAGGCGGATATTCAGAAAGAGGCAGCAAGAATGCTCACATTTAAATTTACCTCAAGTGTTCAGTCTTAGAGATGAAGCAGATAAGATCCTTCAGAGCTGTGACGCGCTCTGAACCCCCAGCCTCTGAAAGGCCAGCACCCCTCTTAATGGAGAGCCCTGATGATCCCGTGCTTGCCTCTAGGTCACAAAAACTGTCCCTGCATATTTAAATGTTGCATATTTCTTAACCTCTTGCAGGCAGTTCCCCTCCATTACATCAATTCTTGCAGAAAAAAAAAATTACTGTGTCATCCATTGAGCTGCAAACCATTACATTTTTCAGGAACACATCCTCAACAGATAGCGGGGTATGGCTGTATAAAGCAAAAGACTGTTAAATTAAAAGCAAAACCAATCTGAAGTTAGTAAGTTAAAATCACCGATGAGCTAACAAGTTACGTCTCTTGTCTTGGTCTCTCCTCTAACCCCACCTCACTAACGCAATAGCAGTTTGTGCTGTAAAAACAGAAGGGCACTACTTGGTTTCTTCACTACACATCATAGCACTCAAATGAACAAGGGCAAGAATATTCCCTGGTTGGAAACTAATATTCTGGGTGAACAGCTATAAACAATAAACCCAAAAAAAACCCCAAACGTCACACACACCCGTGAAAGCTCCATGCATTCCACCACTCCATTTCTGCTGCGTTGTTTTATCAGCCTCTTTCCAAACATCAACCAAAAATCCCAGTATCGCAGAGACAAAGCGTTTGTTTATTAGCATGCTGAAAGCTTCCTTCTCAAGAGCATTACTCAACCGATTACGAAGGTCTAGCATCTCTCGAGGTAAGCAGTCACCTTAAACATAAATGACTAATCGAACGGGTTCAAACTTGCCCAGGGTCCCCAGATTTTTCCCTCCAGGACAAGCTGAGTAATCAACATGAATCATGTGCTTCACAATATCCCTGACCAACTGCTACCAGTTCACCTACCTTTATGAAATATCTTCTTTACACATACCAGCAATATCCTTTGGTAAAGTCAACTTTTAAAAGAAACAATGGACAGAAAGCCTGGAATTCAGTAGCAACATCTTGATTTTAAGTCACTTGACTCTATTGAGCATTTAAAAAAGATTTAGCTGCTCAGGTCAGAGTGCTTATTCACATCAAATTGCTGGAACGCAGAATTTGATTTTGCACGCATGGACTCCTGCTTATACTGAAACAACAGGAACACACGCACCTGCTCCCTACAGTAGCAGCTCAGTATATTTAATTCTCCACAAGCTTATTGAGATAAGTATGTATCCTTTCCAACTGAAAGTCATTTTACTGCTGATTACTTCAAATGCATTAAATACATCTGTTAACACCACAAAAAAGATAAGCGGCAGATTAATAAAGTGTAACGACGGAATCTCATTTGAAATTAAGGAGATACATATACACACAACTGAAGATTGTCTCACACAGACAAAGCTGTGATGTTACGAGACCTTATCAAAGGGCAGGGTATTAAGGCTTCTGCAGTAAGTTTCAACCTACAACAGAGGATTTGTGCACACTGTCCATGGTAATAAATACACAGCAGAAGCGAGGCCTATATAGAGCTTCTGCATTACAATTCCCATCACTGGCAATCCACATTCAGCTAAAGCATTCTTTTACTGTATGTACATCTTTAACATTTGTCCTGAGGTTTTACATCATGCAAGTATTTCTCCTCTCTAGGCATTAAGGAGATGTTAAATATATTTTTTCTGAGTTTTGCTTACTTGATCTATCAGTAGAATCATCAAACTCAACCAGGAATGAATACCCATTGTTCCAGATGTGAAGACACGTTGTTGGGTCGTAGCTGATTTTGAGAGGCTTCAGAAAGGGGTCATAAACACTGTCTCTCCACTGGATATTGATAGGAGACTGCCGGGTGCCTCCAGGAATCGTAAGCGGACTCTGCCAAAGTGGATGCACTGGAAGATGATGAAGAGAGTCAGGCTCTAATGCACAACACAGAACTTCCAACTAAATACTTCATGACTTTTTGGCAAGAGAAGGTGTTTTGGCATATTGGCTCCAAAGGCTTATTCAAGTCAGCTGATAGACAGAAAGTTAAAAAAATAATAATACATTCCAGTTGCATGACTCAAAGCCACACAGGGCAGCGCAGTAATTTGACTTACAACTGTGTCGATACCTTCCTGCATTTGCAAAACGCTGTTTGAAGAAACTCTGCCCTCTTATTTGCCAGAAAAATTGTTTTCCTTTTATTGCCAATTGATTGTAAGGTGGCTTTTGTTTTAAAAGTTTGGCAGAGTCTCAGCACACCACTTCAGCCTTCCTTATACATCAGTACCATCAACTGACGTCAGATTGCACCAGACAGAGGGTAACTCCCACTATAAAGCAAAAACAGTCTCTTGAAGGTGCTGGTCTTTCACCTTAGGTGTGCTCAGGAGCTACACCGCTGCTAAGGGTGTAGTGCTCCTGAAGAACCCTTACCAGTATTGATCAAGACTACTTTATGCAGTCGGGACCTACAGCTGATCCCCACACCTGTAAAATCCTGATCTACCAACTTTGGGGGCAGGCTGGGCATCAAACTGGCATGAGGAGGGCAGATGCACGAATACAGTTTCCATGGGATTTTATTCTACTTGAAAACAGAGCAGAGAACTGTATGGACGTGGGGAGCACTTGCTCACCTGCTGTCCCCCGACATCAACAACCCACAGAGAAAGATTTTTCTGTGCCTTGCCCATCCACGGAGCATGAAACAGAGAGGCTCCAAAGCACCGCGTTAGTGGCTACCCCATTAGATACAACTGCTTGCGGTCTTTCACAAGGTGTGGGGGGGGAAATAAATCTTTTAACAAACCGCTCACATGAGGGGCAGCTAAATCACCCTCCCCCTCGGTTTCCTCAGCAAGGGGCAAACTTTATCAGCCCGCACAAGGTCACCGCACACAGGTAGCGCGGAGGCGGCCCAGCAAAACTCCCAGAAAGCGCCACAGCTCTCTGCTAGGGTCAGCGCCGTTCCCTGATGTTTCAGCGGAGGAACTGTCACGGACAAAAGCAGACTACGCTTGGCGTTCCCTCCTCTTCCACAACAAACTTTGGAGGCACCGGCAGCCCCCTCAGCCCGGGGGGCTGGAAGCGACGGAGGGACATGGGCGCTGCCCAGGCCCCTCAGCC